TTAATGTTAGCCAGAAGTCTGGAGACCTTACCTGTCCCACTGAAGAAATACTACTTTAAAGGAATCCTTTTCATCCTTTCATTTACTATTTAAATGGAACAACTAGTGAAACTTTGAAAGTGGAACAGCTGAATAATAAACTGAAATTTGCTTCTAGCAAGAAAAAAAAAAAAAAAAGTTTTATTTTTCTCTTCTTCTTTCTTCTGAGCTTCCATATCTCTAATCCTTTGCGGCTCCCAATGGATTGAAGATAATGGCCTTCAACACAGACACTATAAAACAGGCAAGATGTCTGTAATGTATAATTCAGCTCAAGACTCCTTCAATTCATGTGGATTAAGAAATGGCACCGTTATCACCTTTTACAAAGAGCTAGTGTTGTTTATTGGTTGTATCTTATTCTTTAACCCATGTGTGCTAATCTGCATGGGAGAGAATATCAAGAGTGATGAGTAGGCTGGATTCCCCAGGGGATCAGAATTATTTATGAAGTTACTCCAGCTCAGTGAACAGAGTAATTCATGTCAAACTTTGTGACTTAAACCCAGTGAATTACAAACTTTGCTCCAGGAGATGATTTGAAACCTGGAGATCAGAAGAAGGCCATTACTAAGCAGTGGGTAAAGCACATATTCTCAAAAGTTCCAAAATTCTCTGTGCAGTTTTCCATCACAATGAAAGATCACATTAATAAAACTTTTTCCACATATTGTCCTATGTTTTATGTGACACAATTATTTGTCTGTAGTGACAGACAAGTTCATTTTTGCTTCTTAATAAAATTCATTTCTTAATCTTAAAATGTTCACAGTGTATGTGTAAGAAATTATTGTAGCAAAAGCATACAGCAAAGGGTATTGTCAAATAGTATGGTCCCTGGAATATTTCTGTATCAAAGAAAAAAAAAAACAAAAACAAAACAAACAAACAAAAAAAAACATTATATGAAAAATCTTATCAGTTTTGAGCAAATTATCATTTGCTCTTTGTGTTCCAGCCATAGCTGTCAAATTAACATGATGGTGCTATTGGGAACTCTTTAGTTGTTACTCAGATCATTCAGTCCTATTTTTGTTTCTCCTTCAGCTGCTGCCCCATGACACAGCACGTCCTGCTCCTGTATACAGGAAAGGAAGGAAAGGCTCACAAAGTTCTATGCTATTTAAGTCTGCCATTAAGAATTTTCATAAAATCAGTTGATTTAATTTTAAGAGCATATCACAATAAAAGTCAAATAAATTAAACTAGTAGGTAACAGATTCAGAACAAACAGAAGAAAGTACTTCTCCACAGAATTAGTAGTTAAGAGTAACTGAGTTTCTTCATGGATTTGTTCACCAAGATTGAAAAGACAAATGGGCAAATTTACAGAAAAAATAGAGGACATTAAACACTCTGGCATTCTTCTCATTTCCCAGCATTCATTATAAAAACGTATATAGCTAAGCTAATCTTTCCAGACTGTCTTTGCTGTCTTTGTTTTCTAGGGAGAAAGAAAAGCACTTCTGAGGAAAAACTTATTACCTATTTAGGACATCTGCTTCAAAATGAGATTCCACCAGCTCTGCTGACCATTCTCTTAACTGTGAAGAACCTCAGCTAATAGGTTCAAACTGAAACATTGTATTCAGCAGTCAAACAAACAAATCCCACAGGTTTTGCTCTTCCCCAGGCATTTGCTATTGGGTCTAATCACAGACAGTTTGCTCGGACATGCGTATCTTTGTTCTGACCTCTGGTAGGTTCATTCCTGTGCACACTGCACTACACGTTCCCTCTGAAGTTGATCTAGTCATAGACAGAAGGGAAGTTCCTGAATATCTTATTTCTTTTAAAAAAGAATAGCTATATACACATAGACAGAAGGGAAGTTACTGAACATCTTATTTCTTTTAGAAAAGCATAGTTATACACACAAAGGATGACTTGTTTCACCTAAATCTGGCAGAACATTAATCACGTGTCAGCATTTCTGATTCTTGCAAGGTAAATTGCTGTGTCATTTGGCACCTGCTCTAACTAAGCAGTGCTTGTGTGAAACTAAGCAGATGTCCCATGCCTTTCCCAGATATTTTCCAAGAGAAGGAAGCATACTGAAAAGAAATCACGTGCCTCTGGATCAACCTGTTTCTTGTTTTCTGAACTATTACAATCATTACACTAGATATTTAGTTTTGTGAGTTATTACTTAAAAACTAACTCCTGTGTAAGGAGATGCATAGCTGTGGTGGGAGGAGCAATACTGGCGCTTTCTAATTTGCTGGCTTTGCTAAAGTATTCATTCTCAAAGCACTGCTCATGTTCCCCTGCTTTGTTTAATTGGATAAGAAACAACTTTTATTGTCTTTCATTTAATTTTCAAAATGTTGATTCTGAGTATACCGAGGAAGGGATATACTAAAAGGAAATTTTAAAAAAAGGATTTTTTTTGTACCATACACCATAGATAGCTACAAAGATCAATGCAAGGATAAAATCAGTAAGTTGGAGAATATAACTGTTTACCTACTCCAGCTTTTTCCCAGCTAGAAGTCCCTAAGTGTCCAAATAGACTATACAGCTGATGCTTCAACTTAATGAGTGGTTTTTGTGGTGTGTTTTTTTCTGTCAAAATTAAATCTTAAGTGTGGCATCTCTTTTCATCACCTTCTGAAATAAACAAACAACTGTGACCTAGGTAAATCTAGCCTACATATAGAATGATTCAGGAGCCAGGCATATTTAATGTCTTCAGCATGATACTTCAGCTGTTACAGCTGCTACAGAAATAGAGTTAAGGGAGGAATCCAGTATTTCTTTTTAATTATGCTTTTCTGTGTTATATCATTTGTAGAGGTTTCTATTGTTTCTCACCAAAGCTGTTTTTGTCCATGTCTCACCGCTCTAGTACAGTAATAATGTACTCACTACACTGAATTCCAGTTAATTTTAAAGGCCTTCATTGAAACCGATTTCCTATGTTCAAAAGTTGCAGTGATATATATATATATATATATATGATATATATATATCATATAGATGCTCAGAGGTTATATATATAATTAATATTTAATATTAATATCTGTAATTAATATGTAATATTAATATTTTATATTAAAATATTAATAATTTAATATTAATGTCTGTAATTAATAATTACAGAGAGATGCTCAGAGGTTATATATATATATTATATATATAATATATATATAATTATATATATATATAATATATATTATATATCTATATATAATATTATATATATATAATTTTATATATATATATATATTATATATATATCTCTCTGTAACCTAATGAACCAGGCAGGATTTTCAAGGGCAACCATCCAATATTCCAACCATAGAAGCCAGGTTCAGGTGCTGCAATTCCTCAGGAAAACATTTAGGAACACTATCAGTTTTTCATGAATTCTGACTATGAAATTTTACTTCTACTCCTGAACCATGTTTTCTACAGCCTCCTGACATCTAAGCCATTCAGAACTAGACTAAGCCTATTTTTAAAAGACAGCTTCCTTCCTTTAGATCTTTCCTTTTTTTTCACATTTTAATGATTTTTCATTATCACTTTTCTTTGGGGGAGGGAAGGTTTTTAATGAGAAGGATTATTCATTTTTCACCCCTATTTGTTTATATTTTTATCCTCTCACTTTCAGCCTCTCTGGACCACCTGAGATGAGGGCACACCCTGGCCTCTTAGCATGGAGGCTCAAAAGGTACCCGGGCCAAGAGCCTCGGCTCTGTTCTGTATGTTAGATCCTTAGATGTTTGGCTGATTACATTAGGGCAGCTGTCAGAGCATGGACAGGAGGTGGACGGTGTTCAGGGATCACCTCTCTGTACAAACATAGCTGCAAGAGCCACCCTGGGGGATTGGGACATACAGCTTTTTATTTTTTATTTATTTATTTTTGTATGAACCTTCAAGAACCTGACGAAAAATTATAAAAAGAAGGGGAAAACAAACAAACAAACAAACAAAAGCAACAACAACAAAAAAAAACAACCCTTGACACAATATACTTGATGAAACCTCTTTCTGCTACAGGACATTCAGAAAGCAGCAAACCAGGCAGTGGAATCCACAAAGCCACACTATTGATTTTGAATTCATATTTCCAGCCTTTTTGTGCCTAATTTATCACCTTTGTTCCCTTCTCTGTCCTATTTGTTTGCTGCACCCACTTGTTTGGGACTTGTAGTCTTTATTAGATCTTTCCATAGGAACTAGATGGGTATGCTTCAGAAAGTCCTCAGAAATAATATAAAATTGTTGTTTGCCCATTAATATTTAAGTCTCATTAAATATATAAAAAAGATATCAAATAACTGGAGTTCCTACATATTGAATAGTATTAGGTTTTTAAATACGTAAAACAAAGTAGAGCTATTCTCAGGTTATGCATGCAACTCCAAAGTCTCAGTAAATACATGTACAGATAAGGTTAAAAGAATAATAAAATTCTGTAGTAGGAGGGACTTTATCTGGCATGCAGTTCTAGAGTTTCATGTTACTGATATTAAGTAGCACACCAAAAATAGCAATACCTTTTCATTTTACGTTAGAAAACCACTTTTTAATGTCTTTTGGGCTGACAGGCATGATAAACTTTTTTTTTTTTTCTGGATGTGCAACTCACTGCAATATCTGTTTTGAATAATATAGTAAAACCTTAAAAATTAAACATTCTTTCAGTTACTTACAAGGCATTAAAAAAAAAAAAAAAAAAAAAAAAAAAAAAAAAAAAAGCTAAGTCAAAAGGAAAAAAAAATGCATTCCTTTTCTTATGATTAGTTAGCATCTAGACCTGTATGTCCTTCTCTTTTTCTTTTTATTAGCGCTGGACAAAAAGCACTATGCAAAGCGTAGCTCAGATTTCCATTAACTACCAAAGCTCTCTGATTTCCTGTTAATTTAGGAATGAGCACACTGTTCCCTGGTAAGAAGCTGCTATGCTAAACATGCTCCCACTCCTTTACCAGGATATTATATGATCTGTCTTCCATCAGAGCTGAACTCAGGGATTTTTAGTGTCAACAAATTAAACCAAATGTCATGCAGCTGTCTTGCCTAACAGCCTTGCTCAACGGGGAGCCTGGCAAGCTCACTTTGTCTGAAATAACCCCCCTAAGATCAGCACACAGTTTCAGATATGCAGACAGGCAGAAAAGCAAGGTCAGCAACAAAACACTGAATGATTCAGAGTCTTGAGACAAAATTCTATGGCTAATGATGCTAACAGACTTTTTTTTTCTCTCTCTTACAGTGCAAGGAATAACTGTAACTCACCTAATTCAGGCCAAATGCATCAGTATCTATATTCCTTATGTGAGGAGTTGAAAAATCTGTCATAGAGACTGGCTAATTTTCTTTTCTTCTTCCTTTTTAAATGGGTTGTGAGGACATCGTGTTTGATGTGACAACCAACCTAATTCCATCTTTGAGGTTTGTTAGTTCATTACTATTTAGACAGACATTAAACAAATAAGGCTTTGGGCACTTCAGCTCTAATGGCTGTACTATTGAATTCTTTGTTATTCTACATTATCTTCTAACCGTTAATGGCTTTTAGACTATGAGTTGTCAGGCTCTATTCAGTTGTTTGCTGTGGTCACTTAGAGTTTGTTGCTCTTCTAACTGATGTTAAAAAAATTACAATTATTGATTGTTAAAGTCTATGTTACCCTGTAAAAGATAAAAATAGTGACCTGCATTCTCTGTGCAGTGACTTTTTATATAAAGCAAGGAACATGTTACTGAGAATGGAAATATCTGATAGTTAGGCATCACTGTGATGCTAGGAGTCCTGAAAAAAATTTGTCTGGGACGATATTTTCAAAGTATTTCACTAGTAAGTATAAGTTCCAAAAGACATATGTTTTTAAAAAGTAATTTACATTTTCAAAATGACATGGCAAATAAAGTCTCATTGCAGTTTACTAATACTTATGCTCCCTAGGTTATAGATTTAAAAATGAAGTCTTGACTCAAGATTTTTCTTGACCATTATAGAAACTCTACTTTTAGTATTAAACAAAATCTAAACTCAAAATACATTTTTGAGAGGGAGAATAACTATCAATATAGAAGCATATATGTGGCCACTGGGTTTGAAAATATCACCCTCTTTTTTTCCCCCTTTGTTTTTCCATCTGTAATTTTGAGACATAACATATATCAGTGAGATACAATCTGAATCTAGAAAACTAAGTATGAACCTTAATGAAAAGAAAGTATCTAATATACTGAATGTCTATTCGTTCACATATTATTCAAAGTAATGCCTTACAAAATAAGCACTTGCCCTGTAATGACTGTGACACAATCTTTAAATCAGTGATAAAATATTAGTAATTCATTATTCATTAAAGTGGTGAAGTCTAAACTCTATTTGTGGCCTACTTAATTTTTTTTAAGTATTTCTTTATCAAAATATTCAAACGACAAATTCTTTAACACCAGAAACATCATTTTATCTCTGCCACATTTTTGTAAAATAAAACTATGTGTTTCTTCTATTTTGTTACAGAGCTCTGATTTTTTTCTCATCTGTTCACATGACCAGTTCTGTTTTTTGACAAATTTTGAAATGTTGTAAATAACTGACACCTCCACTTTTTATTCAGGTAAACTGTTTTCAAAATAATCTAAATAGCATTGTGGATCTTGAGATTCTTCTGCTGAAGTGAAAATAAAATATTTAGGGATTGGGTCCAGTATTTTTTGCCCATGGTGATAAATGGCTTGTCTGACAAGTTAATATTTCTTTTCCATTTCCTTAGAATGATCAAAATCAAAATCCCACGTAAGATTGAACATTTGTTTATCCATAAAAACCCTTCGTTATTCAACCTTGCCTGCTGCATGAATATCACTTCTGAACTTTCTCTCACCAAGAAGAAGCTGTGGAAAGCCATTAAGGCTTACATGCCATGCCTGAAAATATGTTTAGACAAACAGAAACAGCAGAACTTTATGTGTGAATATCTGAGTGACTTTCTATAATCATTGCAAAGTAGATCGCAGTCCAGAATACTCTTTTCTTGCCTTATCTACTATTGCTATAATAATTACTTTTGAGAAAATACACTCACAGAGTAGCTTTGCAATTTAAGGACACTGACTGACTAAGATAATGCAGCAATAACTGTATGCCAGTAGAGAATATTATGATCTTCTTTCATTAGTAACAAAGCATTAAATCTGCCTAAATAGAGCCTTGCCTAATTAGCTTTAATAACAAAAGGGAGTCTTCCAAACTGCATCATTTAAGCTTGCTGCAGGAAGGGATTCCAAAACTAGACTCAAGGTGGGGTGCAGAATATTCTCCTCTAACTCCTCTTCTATTCAAGTTCCTCTTAAGCTTATTAATGCAAAAAGAATCCTAATGCTAATATAATCCTCTTAGGTTTGTAGTTTTTCTTCTGCGAGAAGTAGGGTAGGATGACCACTGCAATATTTAACCTTCATTAAACATTCATTAAAACTTTTTCTATTTATTCTTTTATTTTCAAAGAGTGAGCAACAGAGTTCACATAGGCATCATTTACTATTTTGCTTCAGCATTTTATCAGGATTTCTTTCCTACTTGGACATAGCCAAATAGTCTTTGAGGATCTTGATACATGAAAGATAAGTAATTTTGGTCTGTATTGTGAATGTTAAACTGAGATTATATTCCTAAAAGAAATTGGTTTTATAGAACACACTACAGCAAATGCAAACTTTTTAATCATGGCTGACAAATGGGGTGGTGTACCAGAAACACCCTCATAAACATTCACTGATTAGTCTTCATTGAATATTTGCTTTGCTTTGATCATGAGTTATCACATTCATATTTAAAAAGTTTGTGCTCAAACTTTCATATTTATTAAGTTTGTGCTCAAATTCCACCTAAGTCTACAAGAATTAAGTATTTACTGTAAATTAAGGATGTATGTTAGTGATTTTTGAAGCTGTGATCAGAATAAATGATTGGTAAAATGGAGATGTATAGTCAGGTAGACTTCTTTTCTTACCTTTGTTTTCCTTCCTTCCATCAATAAATATTTCACCTCTAGAAAAAAAAAAAAAAAATATATATATATATATATATTGCTCAATCTATTGATCTTACATTTTCTTATTTTTTCATGCATATATAATGAGGATTGTTAAGAACTACAAACATTTTTTTCATTTTTTTAAACATCAACTCTTTTATATCAAAATTTTAAAACTCTGAAGTGGGAGATAAATATATCTGTATCTGTGTGCCAAATTTTCTCAAAATTGTTTGATAACATTTTTTAAATTTTAATAGAAAAGGAAGCAGAAATAAATTTTCTCAAAGTTTACAGCATTTATACAATATATGTGTCCTACCACATCACTGAAAACAGTAAAGATAGACAGGGCTACATAACATCATGAAATAAGTTTTTCATGAAAAAAAACTACTGTTTTATGAACAAGACCGTGTCCTTAAGTCAAGCGTGTTGTTTTTTTTGTTTGTTTTTTATTTATTTATTTTATTATATTAATCGTAAGATACCACTCATTTTCAAACAATTCCAAAACCTTCACTTTTTATATAGTGTACATAGTACGTGACACCTCATTACACAGCTAAAGGAATTTTAAATGGAAATCTGTCATTATACAATCATTTAAAAGAAAAAAAAATAAAATATCAGCTTCTCTGTTGTATTGACTAGTCACTAGGTAATTTCTGTGTATGTTCCACCTTTACAACGTGGACTGAGATGATTTGGGCCAAGCTTCCAAATGGTTAATTTCCTATACATATATGCTTCAACAATCATTAACAGGCTTATGCTCCCTGCTATGTAAGTCCCACATGAAAACTGACTCTTTTGGTGCATCAGCTGTTTTTAACTTCTACAATCAGATTTCTCAGCCATACAGATCTCCTGTTTCTGCAGCATTCTTACCTAACCAGAAAACTGCACTTCAGGGCAGCTGTATTAACTCTGCTTCTGACTGCTTGCCACAAATTACACACTTTTAGGAGAAGAGGCAATAACAGTAGCTAAATACTAATTGTGAAATCAGTCCCAATGGCCATCTTAGGATTTCTGGTGGATGAAAGGAAGGTGTTTCTCTAACAAGTTGAGGAGAGTAAATATTCAAAGTTCAGATTATATAATTGGAATATTTGAGCTAGTTCTAAAAAGTAGACTGAATAAAAGCCAACTTTTATGATATTCTTTGCAGCTGTGCAATGTAACAGAATTAAAGCTCTGCGGATGGACTGAAAGGTATTAAATTTTCAGTATCTTTCAGATGAACATTTTGGTCATCTCATTTATATGAAAGAATGGTTACTTGGTTTGTGTTAACTTGAAAATATGAATGTGAATAAGAAAGTACTAAAGATATTACTCTGGCTACACCTGGATCATTCAGTGTACTCTGAACTGCCATATTTAAATCCTAAATTCCTTGAGGCTTGAACCATTTCTTCTTCATTTTGCTAAAGATGAGGCATATGTCAGTGATTTGTAAACAACATCTTGTGAAAACAACTCTCAGAGAGTTTTAGAGTAACATAAAAACAATTAGAAGTTTGATATTCATTCATTGGTCTGACATAGGGAAAGCATACACTGCATATCTCAGTGAAAAAAATGCTACTGTCAGCTTCAAGATTTGGTTGCTGAACAAACTTTACAATCTTCACAGTGTGAAACTAAAAATTAAGACCATAAATGCAGCTGGGACACTCAACAGGCTATATTTCATATTTAATTGCTTGCTAATTAAAAGTAATTGCAATTCAAAACCCAGAGTTTTCCTTAAGAGGCTGAATTGCGAAATATGCACTAAAAGATACCATGGGGAATATTCCAACACAGCTTGAATCTGGATAATTTTATCTTGTCACTAAATAAATTTATTTGCTATGGCAGTACAGTAAAAGCAGAAGCAAGTATCAAAGGGAGGTCCAGCTGGTGCCATGAGAAGTTTGTGTTGCTATTGCAATAACTTAATAAGTAACTCTGAGGATCCGTACCCCTTGGATGCTAGAGATAGACCCACATTCACAAACCTCAGAATGCCTGACAATAGATCACAGATAGCCCTTGCATGCTGTGATCCCTATATACTAAATTTCTAAAATAAATGTCTTAAAACTGAATTAAAGGAATTACATAAGTTAGAGGTGGAAACAAACTGCGATCTCTGCACTATCAAGCCCCAGACTGGTGACCTATAAAATTTTCATGAAAGTTCTGGATACTGTTTGTGGGATAATGTTGTTCTCTTTAACAAAGTCTACAAACTGCATTGAAATTGAGGATGCTTCTTATGCATACCACATAATCCTTTGAGAGATGGGCTATTTAGACATGGATATCATTCTCAGTGGTATCTAAATTCTAATTTTAAAATGGGAGTGAATTCAAAGAGGAACACAGGTGACATGTACCACCTGGTTTCAGAGATTCCTTAACCACAAAGTGGAGTTTGTTAATTTGGTTAAACTCAGTGCCATGTGTTTAGTTAGACCATGAGCTAGGTCCAGAGTAAGGGTGGGTTCTGAGTTGTTCTCCTGCACAGACATGACTACAGTTATATAATTTTCAATTTTTCAATTACACACTTAAATTCAAAACTGCAATTCTCCTAACCTCCAACTCAGCTGCCACACCATTTTTTAGGTGCTCAGCCTGTAGACACCCTACTTTAAAATGCTTAAATTCAGCCTATGCTCCAAGTTCAACTTTTGCAGTAAAAATCCTTTGTCTTTATAGGAACAGGAAACACAATGTTTACCTCAAATCAAAATCCCGTCAGGATCCTGAGTTTATATATTTATCTTTTGAATTTCGGGGAGAACTTGATTTAGTACATTATCCCCTTACATACCTAAGACATAATTGCTGTTAGGCTCCTCATAAAATACATTGTTAACCTGCATTGTCTTCTATAAAAAAAGACTCCATTCCTTTCCCCAAAGCACAAATTCAGGTTGTGAAAGAGATTAATTAATTCTAACAGATTATACAGACCCTCACCAGCGCCTGAACAAAGCCCTAAGAAACAAATTGCAAGATGTTATTGGAGACAGACCACTTTCTTTCTCTGAGGCTAAGTCGCTGGTCAGAATTCATTACAAAAGTAAAGTGATCCATCATCTGTGAAGTATGCAACAGAACTTCACATTGCTTAAAGAGGGCTTCAGACCTGTCAGGTATTTGTATGAAAGGCATCGGCAATTGATTAGCTACTACTGTAAGTAGACAGCCATTGTTGCATATAGGTAATATTATCACAGGAAAAAAATAATAAATAAATCAATAGCTGTGACCTACCAGACTTCCAAGATATTCATTTTTCAATTAGTATTAGTACTATTTTTTTACAAATTCCACTGTTCATTAGCTAGACTTGACAGTCTTGACAGCTGGTGCTTTGGAGCACTCCTGTATAGTATTCTTCAGTGACCTTGATGAACCTTTTAAATCACTTTAGCTCTGTTTTGAAGAACAGATTGTCCATGCTGAATATATAACCTGCACTTCTACTGAGGCAGCTTTCTTGGCCAGCTTGTGTCTTCCAATTTCTGAACATCTGCTGCTCAGAAAATCCAAGTCATCATCTAAATATTGGATGAACTTAAAGGTAACCAAGTTCATAAGAACATAATTCGTCTCATTTCCCACATAATATATTGACAGGAATATGCATTTTTCAATTCCTATAACACTGTGTGTTGCAAAATGAAACAGCTGAAAATGAAATTTTGATCTTGTAAATCAATTGGCAAAGTTGGCTATATTGGAAACTGTTACAGAAACCTTTACTATCATACTCAAAGGGAAAACTAAAATAAGGAAAATAAAATAAAATAAAATAAAATAAAATAAAAAATAAAATAAAATATAAAATAAAATAAAATAAATAAAATTAAAATATAAGGGAATGATTTGTTTCTTTAAAATCTTAATGTTTTATTTAATTTCAATGTTATGGTTTCCATGCCAACTGGTAGCACCCTGCCCTGCAATCCTGTACTCTTTCCTGACAGTCAGACTCATCTCTATCTGTCACTGTAAAGTCAGGATTTTTGAACTGCTGCCCAGACCATCAGCAGAGTCGCTTCTCTCCTTTGTCTTTCCAGTACGAGATAAGTGCTTATAAGTCACATTAACTAAAATTGAGGCAAAGCAACAAATTGAACAAATAACTATAATTACCAGCAGGGAGAGCAGAGACCTGTTTATAAATGCTCAGTTTGCTGAGTGCATGGATGTTAATATGACTCACTCCAAAGCAATTATGTTGTAGCTTCTGACAGGTGTGATATGGGACTGTTGATTTTGGCAAATATCTGTAGCACAAATACTCTGTTCAAACTTGAAAAGTGCATGTCAGCATTCAATATTGTGGTCTTATATTATTCTTGAATTCCCACCTTGTTTCTCAAGAAACTGAACTTTAATCCTGTCAACGCAATATTCCAATATAAATCTCTGGCCTATTTAATTTCATTGATATTTTTGTTTGTCTCTTTCTTAGAATAATTGTTGATAGAAACTTTTGCAAACTACCTTGCTTTATGACCCTTTTTCTAATGTCTAAAAGGGACCTGAGTTTGGCAGAGAAAGTGATCTATGATTAATCATCTATGCAAATTATCTCCCATTTTCTTATGCCTAAAAATAAGAGCATTACTTTAATAACTCATTTTCTTCCTTTGGCAAAGTTGATTTTGCCATACCAAAGCCTGAGCTGCTTCTATATGAGCCTGTATAGCCTGGAAGTCCCACAGTCTTCACAGCCAGTCTTTTAGCAGGACTTTCTCTGCAGTCTAATCTGTGTTAACAGGACTGCATACCTTCAGGGTCAAAGCTCACTGTTTGGCCTGAATATTTTTCCAGCACAGTGAGCTTGGATCTATGTACAAAAGACATACGTTGACCAGATTTTAAAATGGATTTGGGTTCACAATGGGTTTATCTATTTTTGACAAATATTCTAGATCAGTCCATTCCCATTTTGTTTT